TTTGTGGGGAAAATAAAAAAAAAAAAAAAAAAAAAAAAAAAAAAAAAAAAAAAAAAAAAAAAAAAAAAAAAAAAAATTATAAAAAAAAAAAAAAGGGGGGGGGGGGCCCCCTCAAAAAAAAAAAAAAAAAAAAAATAAAAAATAAAAAAAAAATATGGGGGGGGGGTGTAAAAAAAAATTTCCCTTTTTTTTTTTGTGTTTTTCCCCCCCAAACTTTTCCCCCCCCCCCGGGGGGGGGCCCCCCCCCCCAAACCCCCCTTTTTTTTTTTTGGGGGGGCCGGGGCGGCCCCCCCCAAAAAAACCGGGGGGGGGGGGCCCCCCCCCCGCCGGCCCCCACATAGGCCGGAAGTAAAGTATGCTGTTTTTTTTGTTGGGTTGGGCGCCTCCACAGCGTCGCGTCGCGTTTTTTCTTGCGCTTACGCAGGACACCGCGTAAGACTGATTATACAATTGTGTGTCCTTTATTTTGTCTACGTTTTCGATAAATTATCTATGGTCATTGATTCGCGACTTTCGTTGTTCATTTCGCGCGTCACGTCAACACTTCGTTGAGTTCAAGGTTACGAGGACGTACGTCTATTCTCTACTCGTGTTTATGACTTCTGCGCATAAATCTGTAGGTCGGGAATTGGGAATCGGACTTTTAGTGTACTCAGAGACGTGAATTAAATTATCTGTAATGTTTTACTAAAGTTTCTATTATCCTTTCTTTACAGTATGGTTTAGGATATGGTGGTGTTAAGGTTATAGTTTCGTTAATAATTTATTAATTGTATGTTAAATGATTTATGGTGTATTAATTTTAATGTATAATCGCTTTTTTTAATTAAGAAGTTACAAAAACTTGAAGAATATTCAAAAGTAATTATACTTTAAAAAACCTATTGAAATCACTTTTTTGGTCCATTCCTTGAACTCCGAGGAAAGTTTTCATTGAAAGAAAAATTTCACGGAAAACCCTAAAAAACAGTTTTTATTTCGGAAAAGCGAACAGCCTCTATGGCATAGCAAAATGTTGCTATGTGGCTATTAAAATCTTATTTAGTTATCGAAGTTTGCGGGGGTAGATAATAAAAGTTATTTAGAAAAATTAAGACTACCGTCAATTGAAAAATGTGTAACTCGTACTGAAATTGATAAATTTGATGAAACTTGAACAGGTTATACTTTTTTAAATATCAAGTATTACTTTAAAGATGCGTGAACAAACAAACATACGCTAACTTAGTATACTTGGATTCCTACAGCCTTATATATCTCCTTTTTGGAGGCTGTTGAAAACCTGGTGTCATTTGCAAAAAAGAAAGTAATCCAAATGAAAGTGTTAACTATTGTTGCGAAAGTGTTCGCGCCATTTTCTCAACCATTTTGAGTTGTTTAATTGTTGCTTTCTGTGTCATGGCTGTTACACATAGAGGTTATTTTAAATAGTGGCATGGCAGTGAATAATTAAGTAATTTCGTTGATTAATCTTTGAAATTATGTTTGTATCTATTATCTTTGCAGGTTTAAAACAATTAAATTTGGTTTTATAAGCTCATTATTGTCTCTTTAAACAGATATTTATTTGTTTATTTAATGTTACATTAAAGGAAAAACAAAAAACAGGCAATATAAGTTATGAAAAAGTAAAAAAATAATAGTCAAGTGAAAAAAGTGCATCAACAAAAATAAAATTACAAGTAACACTGAAAAATTCTAGAATCACCAACAATCTAAAATAATGACAGATTTGGAGACAATATGTGCGAATTAACACTCCAATCTGTCAAAATTAATGGCATTTGAGAAACGCTTCACGCTTAAGCGGCGGGGTTTGAACCAGAAAGGGGGGGGGGGGGGGGGGGGGGTTTGGGGGGGGGGGGGGGCGGCAAGAGGAAATAAATAACCCCCCCCCGACCGTGGGGGAAAAAGAAATGCATTGGGGAGGCTTCCAAAAAAAAAAAAATATTTTTATATAATTTTTTTTTGAGAGTTTTTTTGTGACAAGAAGGGGGGATAAATTCCATTAAAATTGCTTACGTATTTGAACGGCCCCTAAACTATAAATCATAAAGAGCATTGTTTTAGACTTTATTTTTATTTTGTGTTTGTGTTCTGATATGAACATAAAAACATCAAAGATATCTATCAGCAAGCTCTGTAAAGCAATAAAAATTAAAATAAAAATTAAAAACAAAGCCAAAAATATGGAATGCACTTAATCTGTAGTATGTCATTGAAGTGACATTTTGAGTCTGTGACACGATGTGTAATGGCGGCAATCCAAAAATAAAAGGACGAGAATTTATGATACAAGTGTTTGGACGTAAACAACATAGGTAATTAGCGATTTATTTATATTTTTTTGAACTAAATCTTTTAACAAAAGGATAACTTTATAAAAAGTAAATAGGAAAAGTTCAATCCAATTTTAAACTATTTAATAATACGAACTATTGCAACCTGATAGTGAAGTTTCGTTTTACTAAGCCTGCCTTTTTAGTACATACCAACATAATATGGAAAAATTTTCTTTGCTATGCTACCCCATAGAACTGTTCGATTTTTCAGAACAAAAACCTAAGTACTAAATAAACCTTAATTTTACAATTATCTCCATAAAAACCTTCAGGTTCCCGGAAATTATAAATATCACGCGAATTGATCCCGCCTTCGAGTTTTGCACATTTTGCGATTCATTTTTATTTATGTATGGCTATAGATAATGGATCAAAGCTCAATGTGTCAAATTTGCATTTTTCCAGTGGAGTCATGCGATACTTGAGATTGCATCCCGCCATTTTTGACAATGACATTACTCATACTGTTTTAAGTTAAGCCACGGCCTGGGGGTGTGAAACGAGGACGAGGGCGGAACTGTCAAACAGAATGACGTGACAAGGTCTTGACCAATCAAACGAGACTCCTTGGCTTCTTTCATTTATTTTCACCCATATTCACAAACATACATATTAGGAACTATGTTTGACATAGAGAGACATAATAATCTTATTACTATCTCTATTTCATATATGAATAGTAATTTAAATAACCTGCGTAAAACAAAATGTAACATAATATAACACTACAAAATTGCAATAATGCCATGAATGAACACGTGTTGAATATATCATAGATAAATAACGTTGTTTATGGCTACATAAAATTGCGCCTCTGTTTTAACAAATCTCGCAGTCGATAAATTGTTTTATTCATATATTTATCCCCCCAATAGTGTTTACGTAATACTTCTTATCTAACCCGAATTAATTTTTGTTTAGAAGTAAGATTTTTGTAAGCCATAGAGGTAGACAAATTTATATTGTCTATTAAGCATAAAAGTCAAGATTTAAATGAACATTATCTGTCAAAGATTCGTAGTATATAAACTCTTATCGCCCCGATATTAAATCAAAGTACTTATAAATTATTAATGCCGTAATAACATATTTGTTTTATTTAGATTTTAATAAATATAAATCCCTTATGGCTAAAATAAAGTTATGTCAACTAAATCGTGTTGTGTATTTTCTAATACGCTATGACGAAACTATAAGACCTTTTGACGTCACTAAATACGTCACAAATGTTAGGTGCATAGTAGGTATAGTTACGGACATTAAATAAATTGCTATGTGATAGTACCATATTAGGCTCCTTATCGTTCATAATTCCCATGTTTGATCAGATAATTTACCACAAACGACTGTACAAATAGTTATTTGCGCGCCGTACACTTATAATTTAATATGTATATAATATATATATAAATTAGAAAGTATTTATATACATTATTATATATCCAGTATGGCAATAATGTACAATAAATTACGACTGGTCAGTTTAATGCGAGACGTCTCTTCGATTCTAAACTATCTTATTTTGTGTTTCTAAGCAGATTGCGAGTAAAGAGTGGATACTAATTATCTTTTTGTGTAATTAAAATGCAAACAAAAAAATGTTCATCTTTTTTGGTGCGTAAAAACTTAATATTTCACTTCACATGATATATTTGGCGATCTGAACACACGTTTCAAGTCAATGAACGTATAATTTTGTATCTCGTGTTGAGTACGAACTACGAACGTCAGTTATCTGTGGGTCGTCGCTGTGGCAGCGCGGCCCGCGCAAGTATTATCTGTGATTTCGCGTCTATGGTGCATCTTGAGTTTTTAAATCTAATAGAAACTTTTTTCTCCACTTAGATGTGATATCGGTGTTGTGCATTCTATATTCAAAAATAGTTTCAATTCATAATCGGACTTTACAATATTGTTTGATATATAGGGACTTTTTCTACCCGAAACGAAACGAAATTAATCAAATTTGAAAAACTATATTTTAAAATTTGTAATCATTTGTGTTTAAAAAGTGATATTTAAAAACATTTCGGTGCTAAAGGCAAAAAGAGCCTTTGTTTGGATTCTAAATTTAAACTTTAGTAATCGAGTGTTTTGACGATCAGCTGTTTGTTAGTGTTCTAATTTCAAAACGGCATAAAACCAAATATTAATATTGACGCAAGTAGGTTTTATATATTTAATTTAACTATGTAATTAATTATGCATTTAAAAGTCAAATGTTAATTTAATTCAAAGTACGGCGTCGTTGACTTCGTGCTACAAATTAAATATTCAAACGTTATTTTTGTTACGTTATAGGATACTCCTTTGTGCAAGATAGTCTATAATATAGATTTGTAGGTAGCGGCCTATAGTGAACTAATTGGCAAACATTCAAGTGAGTGATTATGAATACTAGTAAAATGGATTCAAAAACAAAACACGTAAGATTCTGACATCACCTCAAAATGTCTCCCGATAAACGGAAGAGAAGGAACGAGGTAAAAAGGACTAATTAGTTGATGATCTCATTTAAGCGCTCAAACAAAGACTGATAGCAAACAACAATGATTGCCTTAAAAAAAACTTTACGGAGACGAACTACTCCGCTTAGCTTTAGTATTAAGCCTCCTAAAGGCGAACCCGGAGGAATTCTTAGAGATAGAAACACAGCAAATGCTCACCGGACTCCATATCTCCAACGGATCTGATTGGTCATTGGAACAAGAAGCCAGAACATTGATAAGACCGCGTTTCGTTCACCCTAAATCGCTGGACAGCATTCTAATAAATCACGAAAGACAGCTGTTCGAAGAGCTTAATTCCCTAGGACGGTATAATTATCGGATAAACAATGACCGGATATGGCATAATCAAGCAATTCATACATATTTGGTTAATAATGTATCGACAGTTGCGCCCGGGCCTCCAAGCGAGGAGGAGCAAACTGAAGATGCCGTTTCCTCAGACGAAAATGTAGCTCAAGAAGTGAAAATAAGCGAGGAGGAAACGGAAGCTGACGAACCGGACACACCGGATGCTGTGGTCACGTTATCGGCTGACTTTTTTGAAAATCGAACCGAATCGGACATCTTTGCGGAGATAGGGAGTCGATCGTTCGACGTGAACGAGTTTCTGGTGACTGATGAAATGCAGATAAAAAAGGAAGATCTTCTAGATGTAAGGGTGAAAATAGAGGCAATAGACGAAGATGACCTCTACAGTGATAATGCTATTGACGATTTCGTACCATACTTCACCGCAAAGTCTGAGAAGCTGGAACTAGATGAATCGTCAGTCTACCATCAGAATATAGCAGACCTGCAAGACTATGGGGAACTCTTTGAAGACGTGAAAGAATTGAGGAATGATCTCGAAAGTTTAGATGTGAAACAGCAGCAGGAAAACTTGGAGCAATATTTGCTTGAAAACACACCATTGGATACAGAAATATACGAACTGGCCCCTTTCGAAGATGACTTAGTTGTGGTGAAGAGAGAGAGAGCCAGTACGAGTTTTACGGCTAGCTCCAGTGGTGTGAGTGAGATGGATGCATCTGACGTAAAGTTGGAGCCCGATGAAGGTCATCATACTGGCGACGAGCTGACTCAGGAGGTGAGTGGTGTCCCTACAATACTTAGTCATATTTTATATTTTTGCATATAGGAGAAATTTAATTTTCATTTGATGTTAATTTAATTAACGATTAAGTGTTATGTATTATTCGTACGAAGCCTCGTGTGCATAATTATATTATACAACACTCAGTTTTATGTACGCACAATATCTCTATATATATTACTAGCTGACCGGGCAAACTCATTTATAATAAAAAAAAATAGGGGTTGATCGTAGAGGGGTGGAAATTAGGGGTTGTATGTATTTTTTAATGCTGTATCATAAAAAAATTAAAACAAAAAAATATCTAAAAATTAAAACATAATAATTTAGGGGTGGACTACCTTTAACATTTAGGGGGATGAAAAATAGATGTTGTCCGATTCTCAGACATACCCAATATGCACACAAAATTTCATGAGAATCGGTTAAGCCGTTTCGGAGGAGTTTAACTACAAACGCCGCGACACGAGATATATATAGATATATAATTCTACTGTACGTGTGTATGTATGAACTCCTCTTAAACTGCTGGACCAATTTGAATGATTTTTTTGTATGCGTTTGGGTAGCGCCTTTAGATTCAGAAATGCAGGCAGATGGCGCTGCAGTTGGTATCTAGGTTATTTATCTATACAGCAAATAAACAGCTGGTATATAAATAAAGCTGGACCGATTTTGATGTAATTTTTTGTGTGTTCGAGTGGCGCCTGTGGCTAACATCTGTGGGATACGCTAGTCAAATATATAACTTAATAGCAGTTCTCTGTATGTGTGGATGGCAATATAATAGTAATTCTCTGTATGTATGGTTTAGGTACTAATTCATATTTCAAGCGTCTTGAGTGCTATCAAATATGTCAACATGACAGTTCATGACTAGATTTAAATTTGACGTTTTAGGATATTATGGGCGAGAGAAAATTAGCGCGAAGGATTTTGACATTACTATACTTAGTTGTGTTTCTGAAACTCAAACAAAACATTTGTGATTGTTTCCTCTGCAGTCTGTGGATTCGAATTCATCCTTCTTGGTTATAAATTTCTTCTTTTCAAGCAAATTCTTAGATAAGTTACTCTGTTTAGATAAGTTACGATTCTAGAACTTCAATTAAACTTAAATCTATTTTCAACAGCAGTCAAACCCTTTCTGAAAGCACACGTTTGACAGCACTAGACGGCGTTGTCATACGAATTAGAATATTGTCGAAAGTACGCGTTATGAAATCACCTTACCCACAGATGTTGTCATGGCAATAAATGGGACAAGATACCTTCGTTATGGACCTTGAAAAGTCCTCCAGTGACCTCTATCACTGCAGAGATCCAGAATGCATTGGCTCCGTTCCAGTTTGAAAGTATTTTCGTTTTTAACCGACTTTTATAAAAGGCCGGTGTTATTTTCGCTCCACTTCTGTGGAACCAGCTGGTATCGAAGTGATACGACTTAGCTGCCTCTTGGTGACCTGCTCTTACTCTTGGCCTGAAGGGCCTTGACAGTTCAGCTCGGGCTGAATGGAATGGACTTTTCCCACGACTAGCGCTAGCGTCTGTGAGACTCGGACCTCGGCTTGGACCGCCGTGGGATGAGCCCCCGATCGCGATACCAAAGTTTTTGTCTAGTGCTGATGTAACCTTGGGAACTGCTGGAAGTTACAGGGCAAACGTCCCATAGGAATATATAGTTACATTTGCCAGAGGCGGTTTGTTTTAGCACTAAAAATATATCTTGTATTTTTGACCATTTTAAGATGATTTATGAATCAAATGGAATCTGAGATCGTGAAGAGAAACAAGTATTTTTAGCAACTGTTTAATTGCTTAATTTACGAATATTTAAATAAAGAAAAACAGATTACAGTTGAATGAACCTTCATTATCAAGTTTTCTTTTAATTTCGTCACACACGTCATATTCAATACTATATACAACTGATTTCAATGTTTTATAATACTTTCTGACCCGGCAAACATTTGTTTTGTCATGTACCTATATTATTTCTCGGAAAAATTTGTTTAGTTCAATAAAAATAACTATCTACAATAATAAAAAAATGGGGTTGGTCGTAGAGAGGCGAAAATTAGGGGTTGTATGTATTTTTGTATGGTGTATCATAAAAAAATTAAAAATTCTAAAAAATAAAAATAAAATTTTGGGGTTACACCACCATTAAAACGTATATATTTAGACTTTCTTTTTATTGTATCGATGCATCTTTGGGATGAAGTACTGAAGTCATGGCTTAGGTGCATGGATTATCTGAACACAATTTCAAGTAATACATATTATATTAAATATTAATAATAATAAAATATAAGAAATAGAAAATAAGAACAAATTTCAAAAGTTTGATCCCTCTGGCACCTTTAATGCTGGCATTTCCTCGCTGTATTGCGATACTTACTCGTTGAGCGAGGAAAGCACCTCTAGGATCACCGGTTCTATCTACCTGGCGCCAAGTTGAGTATTTAATTAGCGCATGTGTACTTGAACCCAACAGTCTACTTCAAAGGATAATAATTAATATATAAAATTAGATTGTTCGACCGACTCAATTTATTTATTTAAAACATAATTTATATGTCCATTTTAAAAATCTTCACTTAGCTAATTACGTAATAACTTAGACAGAAGGTCCCTTGAGTAGGGACAAGGGACAAGTTTTTACGATAAACATACAAGATAAACATTTCCATCATACGTTACATGTGTGTAACTCTAGCGGTTTTGGCAGCGCACGCCATAATAGCTCGCAGATGGTAGAATTTTTCCTACTTCATATTTTGGACAATTCACGCAATATCTTTATATATAGGTAACACAATGTACACTTATGAACGTCAAAAAAAAATGTATATGAAATGCTTCTAACTTTACATTTAGTGCCAGTTCTCAAATCAAGGGCGTAGAACGGAAGAGAAGAACTGGCAATAAACTCTCCGCCACTCTTTTTAATCGCCATGTTTTTTACACACCGTTTGTAAGGAGCTGCAACCATTACACCACGTTCCACATGACATCTTAAATAATAAATAATAATAACATAAATTAAAAACAGAGACTTGTCCTCTATCAGCAGGAGGTGAAATAGGGGCACGCACTTACATTCTTGGGGGAACAACACGCAAACACATAGTCGAAATAACTAATATCACCGCATACACGAATTTAAGTACCACCACAAGTCACCACAAGTAGCACCCGTTCAGGAGTATGACGCATGGCCATATTCTGTTGTACATATATTATTGTAAAGTTTCATTAAAATCCATTCAGTATTTTTACGTGACAGAGTAACAAACATCCACGCATACTAACAAAGTTTCGCGTTTATAATATTAGTAGGAATTTTTGTCGTTTAAGAAGTCATAGTAATTGTTTTAATATTTTAAACAACGGTTAATTTCAAAGTCTAAAGGTCTGACTGGTCCAGACGGGCAACGAACCAGACGGTATCTACCAAGTTCGAGACACTTTTTCGTATAGTCCTATGTGTACAATCATATGTAGTGTTTCGATTGAAAATCAAGAAATTGTAACAAAAACCCATTTGTTTTTAATAAATAATTAATGCTATCCCTGAGTTAAATTAATTATATTTACTCTCTATTAACATTTTAAACACAAGTTTTAAACTTTGTTTTGTGTTAAACTAAGTAACGGGTCCTTTGTTCCGTTAAGCTATTAAGCGTGAACATCGCGTTGAATGTTAGATTTGCGAATGTTACCATGGAAACAGACGGTATAGGTAAGATTTAGAAACGAGAGCTAACTATAACTCCCGTGGCAAAATCTATTATTGACATACAAGAAACAGACTTACGGCCAACAACCTATCTCAATCCATAATCCACCATCGACGGATTGTTAAAGCCATCTGTCGATACAAGCTTTCCATGGGAGGTCGTATCGGGGTCTGTGGATAGACCTTTGTACGAAAGCTCGATTTCAACAGTTAATTATTTTAACAAATTTTAACTTATACCAGTTTTTTAAATAATTAAAAAAACTGTTTGTTATGTTTTAAACATTTACATGTTTTAATGTTATTTGTACGGTTTTATTTATTTTATTTGGTTTACATTGATGATCAAATTTGAGTGAAAACTTAATAAAAAGGTACGACAAACAGCATTTTATCCGTCGCCAAAAATGAATTGTCTTTTCGTAGGGTTTGGTTATTGGGATGCAGATAGGAGATCGATCGACTGTCACGGTCGGATCTCAGATTGTTTTCAATCTGAGATTGTGGATTGATTATTGGGTTCAGGCGTTAGTCTGGTTTCTCAATCTATAAATTGCCCTATAAGTCACATTACCATTTGAGTCGCGCACTCACGTTATTATAACACATAGGTATATGTATATGATACCACCCGTATCACCTTGGCGTCCGTCGTTCCACAACTGAGCATTTTCTTAAGGCAGTTTTTACCGCCAGCACCATGTGGAACCATCTTCCCACTGAAGTATTTCCGAACCAATTCGACTTAGGCTCCTTCAAGAAAACAGCGAACTAATTCTTTAAAAGCCAGCAACGCACTTGCGAACCATCTGGCAATGGGTGTGTCTATGGGCGGCGGTATCACTTAATTTCATCTGTAATATATATAAAAAATTGCGACCTCTTCATAAATATATTAATCAGTTATATATCTATATATATTTCGTTTAGTTTTGGAGTAACATACAAAATAATATATCCTATACTTGTAAAACATTATGACGCAGTATTGTGATAGTAAACAAATAGTGAAAGTTGCACGTGTCGGGACTATATTTATAGCAACTGAATACAGAAAGACATTGTCTATGGTACATGTGTAATTAATTAATTTATCAATGGTATTTGAAAAATTACGTCAGCTAAACAAATTTAAAATAGTAATAAAACTTTTTTAGATTTTAATTTGCAATAATTATCTAAATATCGATTTAATGAATTGGCTATGGAAGTGTGCAAACTGCGTCAATCTATACTTCTATACTAATATTATAAAGAGGAAAGGTTTGTATGTATGTTTGAAACGAATTGGCTCCAAAAGTACTGTACCGATTTTAAAAATTCTTTCACCATTTGAATGCTACATTATCACTGATCACCTTTAATGCTGGCATTTCCTCGCTGTATTGCGATACTTACTCGTTGAGCGAGGAAAGCACCTCTAGGATCACCGGTTCTATCTACCTGGCGCCAAGTTGAGTATTTAATTAGCGCATGTGTACTTGAACCCAACAGTCTACTTCAAAGGATAATAATTAATATATAAAATTAGATTGTTCGACCGACTCAATTTATTTATTTAAAACATAATTTATATGTCCATTTTAAAAATCTTCACTTAGCTAATTACGTAATAACTTAGACAGAAGGTCCCTTGAGTAGGGACAAGGGACAAGTTTTTACGATAAACATACAAGATAAACATTTCCATCATACATTACATGTGTGTAACTCTAGCGGTTTTGGCAGCGCACGCCGTAATAGCTCGCAGATGGTAAAATTTTTCCTACTTCATATTTTGGACAATTCACGCAATATCTTTATATATAGGTAACACAATGTACACTTATGAACGTCAAAAAAAATGTATATGAATTGCTTCAAACTTTACATTTAGTGCCAGTTCTCAAATCAAGGGCGTAGAACGGAAGAGAAGAACTGGCAATAAACTCTCCGCCACTCTTTTTAATCGCCATGTTTTTTACACACCGTTTGTAAGGAGCTGCAACCATTACACCACGTTCCACATGACATCTTAAATAATAAATAATAATAACATAAATTAAAAACAGAGACTTACCGATTTTAAAAATTCTTTCACCATTTGAATGCTACATTATCACTGATTAATATAGGCTGTTTTGATTGCAATAAAAATAAGAATCCATACTAAAATTACAATGATGTAAGGTGTAAAAAAATTCCTATAAAATATATTTCATCGCATGCGCTGCGAAAAATATTGATGTTAGAATAAAACAATAATCCACAATATTAAAGAACATATCAATATCAAATTAGTTGTTTAAGCCATCATTTTAAATATGTTAATTAAACATTAATGGAAAATAATACGAAAAGAAACTTTGTATAATTAATGTAATTTGTAGAATAAAGTGAATGACTTGTTTAAGCTATCGCGGTATTTGCTTAAGAATAGCAGTAAACCTGCATCATGAGTACATCCCACATACACAACCTCACGTAGATACCCTCACTCAACACACCACCTAATTAAAAATATTATGACAAGTATAAACAATATCGAATTGAATATAGTCTGTGACATATTGTATAAACGTCATTGTCAATCTTAATTTACCGGCTAATCGATATTTTTGAAGTTATACTTCTTTAGGCGCGTTATGAAAAATTTATGAGAGTGAAATTTTACGATGCGCGCGCACCGTGACACAAAATTTAAGTATGGGCGCCGCGCGTGCTCGAGCGATATGGGAATAAGACAATCTACAAGTCAAAAGAAATAGAATATGCGTGACGTTAGCAGCTATGCCAAGAATTTTGAATGACATTTGGACAAATAAAGGAGTTTTAATTATTTTTTCAAAGAAATTTAGCAATGCTTTTTCACAAAGACCTATTGTTACTTAGTTAAAAGGTTATGAAACATACCTAGTTATTAAATTAAATTAATAATATAATAAAATAATAAATAATAATTTTTATTAATAATTGAATAATATACTAAATATTAAATATTGTTAAATTATTAACGCTAAATATTTATTATTTCCATTTCCCAAAAACCCCCCCGGGGCCCCGAACCCTTCCCAAAAAAACAAAACCCGGGAAAAGGGTTGGGGCGTTCTGGAGTTATGGCGGCAGGAAGGAAAACCCGACATTTATTATTAATTATTTAATATTTAAAAAAAATAAAGAAAGCCAAAGAAGTATAACTTCTTACGCGCGTACATACACGCACCATTTTTTACTTTATTCCATATCATTATTCTTTATATTATTACATTTAATTGAATAACGACTATTATTAACAATATTCTGGAAAGCGTTGTTGTCTATGTTTTACGTAGGTACGTAAAGATTGGAAATGGGAGGGAAATTACAGAATAAATCTGTCTTAAAAGTGAAAAATTCCTGTATTTATTCGGGAAATGGTCACTTTATAACATATTCGCTATATTGGATAAAAGCAATACATAGAAATGATAAACATACTTTAATGAATACATATATTATCGAGTGGCGGTGGTCTAGTGGTTTGAGCGTGGGACCCTCAAGCCAGAAGCAACTCTAACCGGCATGATTTAGTTCCAAAAATCGATGGCATGTATGTATATGGGCTGATTAGACCGCCTATTAGAAAAACAAAAAATGATCACAAAACAAATACAGAAATGAATTTTTTAAGACATGTATGTTATAATGACAATGTTGATTTGATTGACGAGATATCGGAAAACATGATTACGTATTTTTCATGATAGAATTGATTAAAAAATATTTTCAAATATATATATTTTATACTTTTTTAAAGAAAGTTTTGTCGAAGCCAATATAGGTAGGTACCTTTTCTAATTCATAAAGAGCAATAGTTTTAAATACATACATGTGTGTGACGAATATAATCATTGTTGATATATACGCCTCGTCGCGATGTCAAAAAATTCAATTTTTAAACAAACGTCCGAAAAGTTTACATAACTAATTTCGCGACGCCAATGACCTAAGTCCACCTTGACCGTCAACCTTGTCAATTTCTTGAAATACATCGTCCTAATCGGTTTGTTCTAGAACAGAGACTAGTTTGAAACAGCGCCATCTAGCGGCGAATAGCAATATGATGTAGATAGCTTTATTCATATCTAACGTTATATTTATTATATATTCAAGTTTTGTTAATGGAGGAGAAAACGCAAAGCTAATTGCAGATGTCGCTATCATCGCTTGACCCATAACAATACGCTCTCAGTATTCAGCAATTCTTACGTAAATCTTCGGTACGATTTAGGAAATCTTAAGGCCAAACTTTGAATGGTTTTAGAAGTAGCATTTTGATTTACGCCATCTGTGTTTTGATATATTAATTCTTAGAGCTTGTCGATACAAACATGATCAAGACATTTTAATAGAGTGCAAGACTGAAACATTATGCTTCGCGTTTAGCGTACTGTAACTAGGTGGCGCTGAACTCAATTTTAAATGACAGGGATTTGTATGTTTTAGTTTAATATTCCGTAACAAGATGTCGCTAGTTAATAAGTTATTGTAAGAAAATCCGAGACATCTATGCTATAAATTTGTTTGTCCAATAAAGATGTACTGCAGTTTGGTGTGCGCTAATCTAGAAATTAGAGATGCCACGTTCTATAATTTTGCTACGTATTATGTATGTTTTTGCCGCGCTTGTGGAACCACTCCCACTTTCGGATCCACTTTTTCTTAGGGTCCTTCAAGAAAAGCTAAATCTTAAAGGGCCAGGCACTTTCGAGCCTTCTGAATAGCGATGTCCATAGCGTGGGCAAAATCATACACATCAGATGAGCCTCCTGCCTTTTGCCTTTACATTTAAAAAAACAAATGGTATGTACGATATTTTAATAAAAAAAAAAAAAGGGGGGGGGGGGGGGAAAAAAAAAAAAAAAAAAAAAAAAAAAAAAAACGGGAAAGGGGGGGTTTTTTGGGGGGGGGGGGGGAAAAAAAAACAAAAAAAAAAAAAAAAAAAAAAAAAAAAAAAAAAAAAAGGGGGGGGGGGGGGGGGAAAAAAAAAAAAAAAAAAAAGGGCCCCCCCCCCCCCCCCCCCAAAAAAAAAAAAAAAAAAAAAGCGGCGGGCCCCCCCCCCCCCCCCCCCCCCGGGGGGGGGGGGGGGGGGGAAGGGGGGGGGCGGGAAAAAAAAAGGGGGGGGGGGGGGGGGGGGGGGGGGGGGGGAAGCGCGGGGCCGCGGGGGAAAAGGGCGGGAAAACTGGGGGGTGGGGCAAAACCCCATTCCGGGGCACCCCCCAAAAAAAAACCGAACGGGGGGGTCCGAATTTATTTTGTTTAATGTATCATGTATGCTATGTACGAGTATGTCCGCAAATAAATGTATTAGTTGCCCTAACCGCCAAACCTTAGTAATTTAAATGTTAAAAAAAAAAGGTGTTTATGTCTTGTCGACATCAATCAGTAACTGAACTGTTTATTTCCAGGACATGGATCTGATCGAGGTGCTGTGGAAGCAGGATGTGGACATGGGGTTCTCTCTGGAGGATCCAATGCAGCTGGTAATTTATTTATTTACCGTTACCTCGAGCAGTGTTGGCTCTCATTTCTGAGGTCGTAGGTTCGACCCGGCTACGGGCTGTGCACCAATGGATTTTCTATGTAACATTATTCTGCTGTATTTTCTACGGTGAAGGAAAACATTGTGAGGAAACCGACATGTCTTAGACCCCAAAAAGTCGAGCTGTGTCAGGCACTGGAGGCTGATCACTTTCTTGCCTATTAGATTTAAAAATGATCATGAAACAGATTTAGAAATCTGAGGCCCAGACCTAAAGAGGTTGTAGTGCCACTGATTTTTTTTACCGTTACCTTATGCATATAAGAAAAGAAGCCTCATCACCAATAAGCGATATCTTCCAGGCAAGGCATTGCAGTATTTCATTGCTGCGTTAAAAGTTTATTAATATAATTTATAATCAAATAATATATTTTCATACCTTTTATCTAAATATATTATAAAACTTACCAGAAAACCTTTTGCTATACAATAATCATACGAGTAGTGTAGTAGTGGGTTCAGCGTGCGTCATCCCTGGGGTCGTAAGTTCGATGGTCTGTGCACCAATGGGCTTTCTATGTGCTTTAAAAAGCTCCTACGAAGGAATACATCGTTAGGAAACAGTTGATCACCTACTTGTCTATTAGAAATGATCACGGATGCAGAATTCTGAGGCCCGGACCTAAAAGCTTGTGGCCTATTGGTGATATTTATTAATCTTCTCTAAGTACGTAACGCGTTTTCGTATAACGCGATTTCCGACCCCATATAACGCGGTATGCCGAGATTTCTCAAGTTATATTTCTGTAGTGTGAATTTTATAATGATTTGTCCATAATTAGTTTTGCGTACCTTTTTCAATAGTGTTATAAAATAACAAACTTTGTTAAATACGTGTGCCTTGTTTTAAAAAAAAACGGTTAACGAGAATACAACTGCAACGCGGTCGGAATCTACCGCGTTATAGGGAAGATTACTGTCTTTAGTTTTATAAATATATCGCCCTCTGGCGAAGAGTCTTTGCTAGATATAGTATTTGCTCTGACGTAATTTAAGCGACCTGACAACCTTAATTACCAAGAAACAAATCCTTGACTAAGGGCTAATTTCACCAAACTCAGATAAGTTTTATTCCAAGGAATTAACCCTGGAATAGCAAATTTTACATTTCACCAACTACTTAACCTGAGAATAAAACGTTATTCCAAGGATAAGATTTATACGCCCAATTTTGAACGAATACGGAGATATTCCTTGGATAAAAATGGCCGCCATGTCATGTCAGCTGTTTTCTATTTATTCTTCGATGTTTCATTTGTGCAAAAAGATTTCGTGTTTTGATTTTCTCCCGTTTTAATATTTCATTTTTTATTTTTATTTCAACTTCAAATTTTTTTTTTTCCGCCTCCCTCTCTCTCAGCAGCAAAATTCATAGCTTTTATTTTAATTTTTATGTAACTCTTCTAAAGTTGAAGAAACCGGTAAAGTAGGTCTGCGTCTGCTGCTCCAATTTTTCCTTTTGAGTGAGAGGGGTATTTCCAGCATCCTCTACAGATATTAAAGCACAGTCATCAATATCCATATCCAAGGCAAGAGGCGTCGATTTAGCTGGCTGAACCACAGGCTGAACTGACTGTGTACGCAGAGGAGCAGATTTCTGAGATTGCAGCATCTTTGGGGTGTAGTCTCCCCAATCAGCAGCACAGTCACCTTGTGATTTATCATTATCGCAGGTAAAATTTGCAGCATCAATATCCAAGTCAAGAGGCGTTGACTTGGTCACAGTGGTGTTCGGCACAAATATGCCTGATACATCTGGAATTTTAACTGTAGCCAACGTTTCATTTTCTTTTAATATAAAATTATCGCAATCATATGGATTTTCGAGTCCAACAGCAACTGTTGAAATAAGACCCAAGATCCGGGGGTAAATAACGGGTCGTCAGATTTAGGCTTTGCAGGTCCCCACCCTAAAACAAAAAATCAAATATAGTTAAGAATGTCACAGTACCAACATAGGTTTATCATGAAGATGCTTTTAGCTGCGAAAATAAGCATGTAAAATGATAAAATGATTTTACCTGTTTGAATCATGTACTGCCTTGCAGCAGCAGATTCTTTTTTGGTGAATTTTTTTAAGCTTTCCCATTGTGCCTTTAAATTTTCCGCGGTTCTGTGGCTGAAACTGGTTTGCGAATTGAATTCATTGGATATTTTACTCCCTCAGCATTTTTTTCTTTCATGGTTACTGCGTCGGTACGCTTGTTTTCCACTATCTTAAAATGGTCAGTTATCAGGTAGGATTACTGGTACATTTGCCAGTTAGGACTTCTTTTTCTAGCGGTCATTATCATGAACGATATTGTTTCTGTTATTTATTTTCTTCTTTCAAATCAAAACCAAAATAAACACTCAGGCAAAACAAAGCTTCTATGACCTGACCACAGATTACAAAGTAGGTTCCATGACAGCTTCAAACTGACGTATAATCCAACTAAAGTAAAAAGTTCCATTTAACCTTCATGTTCTTTAAAGAAATTGTACATTTAATTTGTTTTCATTATACACTCATTCGTTCGTTCACTCAATATACACTTCCACAGATAAGCATAACGGCTATTCCAAAGAATAGCTAATCTGAGACTAGTTTATCGGATGTTTTACATGGTGAAATGTAAAGTGAGTAGTCTGGGATTAAATTCAAGCGAATATGTTTATCCTTGGTATAGCTATTCTCGGATAACTACGACATTGGTGAAATCAGCCCTAAGAATACTAAATGGTCCAATTTATTTAGGAGGGTCCTCAAGCCACGAAAGTGGAAATGGGCAAGGAGTTGGATAAAGACCTGAAGGTTTTAGAAGAGAAGAAGATGTTAGAGGAATCTGAGAAGATCGAGAAGGTCAAGGCTTGTCTGCTGGACACAGAGAATAAAGAGGTATGTAGGTCAATATTAAAATTAGATTACAATTAATATCCAGTGAAGTGTTTCCGAACCAATTCGACTTAGGGTCCTTCAAAAGAGCGTACCAATTCTTAAAAGGCCGGCAACGTAGTCGCGAAACTTCTGGCATTTAGTGTCCATGGGTATCACTTAACATCAGCTGAGCCTCCTGCCCGTTTGCCCCCTATAAATGAATAAAAGTTTGGTCCCTGTGGCAGAGCAGTTAATGCCAGCATTTCCTTTCTGTATTGCTTCTACGATGAGCGAGGAACCAGCTCTGGTGCCACCAGTGCTTACTTTAATCTTTGATTAACAATTGCCCCTAGAGAGTGTACCCCAACGGGAACAAAACCGATCTTTCAGGATACCATTTTTGCTGACCATTATTTTCCGTGAAGCAAGTAGCATATCAAGAAAAGAGCGTAACAATTAAAAGGCCGGCAACGCATTTACTAGCCTTCTGGCAGTGAAATTGTCAGTTAACATCAGGGCCCTTACCCTGTAACTTCCAACAGCTATCTCAATAATGAGTAAGAGTAGGTAGAGAGAGAAAAGAGAACTGCATCGAAATTGCATACAAAAATGTCATGATTAGTTGCAGAGTAAGATCAGGTGAGCCTTCTGCCCGTTTGGCCCCTGTTCTGATTGCACCGCCATATTATAACAGACAAATTATCGTCATGATCGTAGAACAATGTCGGATTTGAAAAAAAAAAAAAAAAAATCCTGTTTTTAACATATTTGGATACTATATATTAAGGCTACATTAAAAAAATTCCATGTGTTTTAAATTTCAAATTAATCAGTCGGTAAAGTGACGGATTTGTTAGAAACATGAGATTTTTCTAGAAAACTGTGTAATTTAATGTTATTATTTTTATTTTGTTTCAATACAAACCCTTTTGCTTGCTTGTATGCCAATTTTCATAATAACAGAATATGAATTAAAATAGTTATGACAAAAACTAACATGATTATATTATTTTGAAATGGCTGTCCTGCCTAAAGTTTACTATTTGTCAGATCCGTCACTATGACAAGGTTCTATGTACGCTGGTAGGAATATAACGATAATTTTTGGTAGTGATGGAAGTCTGGGAACTATGAAAAGCAAATCTATTTCGAATAATACAGCTGGTTGTAGTGCCACTGGTTTTTTTGTATTCCTAAAATTGAGAGATGAATTTCCCTTCCAGGATGACCCCTGGGCTGGGCTGTCGTATACAGTTGATACTGAAACGGGTAAGTTATAAGTAAGATACATTTAGATACGTAGTCGCATATATCATATACGAATGTTCTTCGATATTTAAAATGATTTCTCGAAATATGTTATTTATAATAAGTCTTTTAAAGTACTTGTTATGTGATTCGATTTTTAAAATTATCATTCTGATGAAAATTAAGTGATTGGGAAAGTTATTTTTAGAAATAATCTATGATTCGATTTTTGAAATTTTTCGAACTGTAACTAATTGTTGTGGTTCGATTTTTAAAAATGTTAAAATATTTTTTGATCTACCAAAAATCAATAATAATTGTTTGTAAAATTATTTTTAGACGATAAGTCAACTAAGGTTAGATTTTTGAAATTATGTTTCGAACTGTAACTAATTGTTGTGGTTTGATTTTTAAAAATGTCAAAATATTATTTGATTTACCAAAAATAAATTGTTTGTAAAATTATTTTTAGCTTCGACAAGTCAACTATGATTCGATTTTTGAAATTATGTTTCGAACTGTAACTAATTGTTGTGGTTCGATTTTTAAATATTCTAAAATATTTTTTAATCTATCAAAAATCAATTGTTTGTACAAAAAAATTTAGATAACAAGTAAACTAAGGTTCGATTTTTGAAATTATATTTCGAACTCTGTCACAAAACATTGTGATTCGATTTTCAAAATTAACATATTGATCTCACTAAAGTGAAGGGAATTGTAAAGTTGTTTAAAGTCTACGATTCGATTTTTTAAAATTATTTTTTTGAACAACCAAAACTATTTTTCAAATATTATTTACCTTGTAGACATTTAAAATACTTTTACTTTTTGCTTTACACATTCAACTAAATACGAGAAACGTATAATATCCCCACAGTGTTGAGTACATAAGGGTGAGTCCCCTTATGTACTTAACTGTAAGGGATACCGGTAATTCAGTATACAGCCAATGTAGGGGATCGTTGGTTAATATTTATTATTGGAACTGTTTGTTTAGCTTTAATAACGGCTACATAAACTATGTATTAAATACTTTAAAAAATATGGCACACATTTTGGTTTGCACAATTCTGTTATAGAAAGCAGCATGTATTCAATATTTAACCGACTGCAAAAAAGCCGAAGGTTATTTTAGCGAATTGTTACATCATATTTTAATTTTTAGTTATTAATTAATCGTTATTTATTAAATCATTATTCTATCAACCTAAACCGAATAGTAAGTAGAAGACTTCATATTACTTTCAACTGAAGTTGAATATAAATTTAATATTTGCTAGATGTGATGTATCTCAAAAATTACTCAACAGATTTTGATAAAAAACTGCTGTGTGGAGTTGTAGATATACCTGACACTTTTATCTCAATAAAACTTATCCGAGACATTTTATGACATACGAAATGTTATATATTTTATATACTCGTGCTTGGAAGTCTACACATATGTAATGTATCATACAAAGTCAAAAATTATTTATTCGTATAGGTAACATAATGTACACTTATGAACGACAAAAAAAGAAATATACACTAAATGCTTCTAATTTTACATTTATTGCCAGTTCTCAAACCAAGGGCGTAGAACGGAAGAGAAGAACTGGCAATAAACTCTCCGTCACTCTTTTTAATCGCCAAGTTTGTTTTACACAACGTTTGTAAGGAGCTGCAACCATTACACCATGTTCCACATGACATCTTAAGTAATAAATAATAATAAAATAAATTAAAAACAAAGACTTGTCCTCTATCAACAGGAGGCATGGTGAAAGAGGAGCATACAGGTCCTACAACTGAAGTCAGTCAAAGAGACATTAATCCTCGGGCTAAACTATTTTTTTTAGATAACATTAGATTTAATGCTCGACTCTGAGACCGTGTTGAGAGTTTTAACAAAATTTCCCTTGTCTAAAAACTATACCAAATTTGATAGGATTTTTTGTGTTTTAATAATTTCGAAATACCCTTGAGTGCTCAGCGGGACAACCATTAGTTTGCTGAGTCAGCATTATTTGAGAACAGACACCGCTTTTGGGGTCGTAGATTCGTAATATGAAATAATATATAGAAATTGTTAATATATACCTAGAAATGCCGCCAATTCTCCCTAAACATCTCTCTTAGACTCTGAAGAAGAAGAGATTTTTTTATGAAAAGGAGTTTATAAGCATCAAATTTATAAATAAAGTTTTGATATATATCAATCATACCATGTGGAACCAGCTGCCCACTGAAGTTCCGAACTAACTCAACGTAGGGTCCTTCAAGTAAAGAGCGTGCCAGTTCTTGAAAGGCCGACAATGCCTTCTAGCATTGAAGGTCCATATCACTTATCTGGTGAGCCTCCTGCCTGCTTCCGACACCTTCATCCCAGTCTTTAAAGTTACGAGTTATCGAACAACACTGAACACATGAAAATAAAATTGTTTGTTTACGAAGAAATTGTCATCTATATGTCGCAGCCAACTAGCTTAATTAGCCGTTCAATTAACAGCCTAGCCATTTAACTAAACGGCGCCGTTTAACTAGCCGCTGAAAGATATTCAGCCGTAGCGTTTGTTACAACATTTAAGAAACTGGCTGGCTAAGATTATTTTGGCAGAAATAAAAAAGATGAAACATATGACATACAAAATATTTCTTTTAATATTAAATTGCTTAAGTCAAATTCACATTATTATTGTCAAAACACCATCAAAGTTATGGTTTGCCAACGCCATATTGACGGTTTGAACAGTTTGTTTCGAGTTTGAGGTGGCAGAGTGGAATATGAATTAAGTGGTCATTTTAGCCTAGCTGTTTGATCAACTGGCTGAACATCTTTCTGGCCGCTAGTTAAACGGCTAGGCTGTTAATTGAACGGCTAATTAAGCTAGTTGGCTGCGACATATATATATAAAAATGAATCGCAAAATATCTTGCTAAGCTCAAAACTCGAAGACGGCTGGTCCAATTCGTGTATTTTTTATTCCTTGGCCTCTGAGAAAGGTTTATATGGAGAGGAAAATGTAGTTCTATTTAGTAATTCGGTTTTTATTCCGGAAAAGCGAACAGTCTATTAGGTAGTGTAGCAAAATGTTTCACATTTTCCATGGTAAAGTTTTTTATAATTTAGATATATTTGCTAAATTAATATTTATATAAATAAATCTGTGTTACTACTCCTACAGCTGGGGCCGGTTTTGATGGAATTGATGATGAGAATGGTTTAGATTTACTATGTATTTTTAAAATTAAAGACGTGTACAGAATAGGTAAAAACTTTAAGGTTATGTACCGACAGCTATTTTTTATGATAAAATCCGTTTGAATTTACAAGTCGGCGCGTTTTAAATTGAAAATGCTGTTCATGAATTCGGAATTTTAAATTTAAAAAGAAAATTCGTTAATATCAATTGAAGTACTATAAAATGTAGATGCTACCATGGCAACGCTTTCTCATTTTAAATGGTAACCATGGCAACAGCCGTTACCACGTTTTGTAGCGTTAAAATCACGAGCTAGTGAAATGAATTAAAAACACCACAGATTTATCTGTTTCGTCATCATTTTCCTAATAGTAGGTGAACAACCTTATGTGCCTGCTTTGGTCTAAGACATGCCGATTTACTCACGATGTTTTCCTTCGTACTAGACAGTTTCAAATAAAACATTGATGTTACATATTGCTAGACCAATACAACTTATTTATTTCTTAGTAATCTTTCAGCTAACATCTTATAAAACAAAACACTTAGACAATATGGAAAGCCAAAACAGATTACTTAGATAAACAATATATATGAAACAGAATGGATAAGTACCTAAATAAAAAAATAAAAGAAAACTGAAATTTAACATTAAACAAACGACAATTAATACTTAATATTTCAAAGAATAAATTAACTTGTTGAAAAAACTTAATTGTTACTGCTTAACAAAGTCGAATTCCCGCCTCTTCAAACATTTCCTCACATCCTCTCAACATCGTCATAATTTAAACAATATCTTTAGTCGCACTCTTCTATTTCTGAAGTCCGTGTTTCTAAGCTCGGCAAACTAAAAACAACAAAAAAAAATATCGCTTTCGGACTAAAATTTAACAAAAGATAATAAATATTGCAACAGGAGAATTGCAATCATACGAATGACATCTATGTTACAATGAATATAAAATTCTAGAATTAATATCGATTAAAAAAACCAAAAGTATTAATCATTGAGAACAGACGATGATGACTTGTGGAAATCGTTTGAATTTCGAACGCGGCTGTCGCTCGACACGCCCATTTTATATTGAGCCTTAGTAAACCTTTCAGGTGTCTGTTTTTAAGTTATCGGAACGATGTTTTTGAATACGTTATAAAATTGGCGATGTCAAACGATTTTGACTTAATAATAATTTGGTTTGACATTAATTAATGCTCATTTAATAAAATGTTTACTTTAAACCTTCCACTACTATGTGGAAGCTACCCGCCGAAGTATTTTAAAACCAATTCGGTGTTGGGTCCTTAGAGAAAAGAGCCATATATAGATACAGATACCAATTCTTAAAAGACTGGCGCACTCGCAAGCCCTCTAGCATTGAGTGTCCATGGGCGGGTGCCCCGTGTTTTATATAAATCTAATTTTAAAAAAAGTTTTGTGTCAAGAAAATGCATTGTCCAGAATATTATTATAAATACTATTTTATACAAAAAATCATCAATACATTTATTTGTCGCGCCAAGTGTCTAACTTAGGTTTAGCTATATTTAATAATAACAGCCTGTTATTTTAGATACTTCACATTTAAGTACATTTAAATTTCTATTATCTCATTCATTCCTAGGTATCAGTGTGCTCTGTTTGGCAAAGGCCTCCTCCAAATCGCGCAATTTCTGCACTATGCCTCAGCACCAGAACGTACTTTTTTTTTTAAAAGAACGGGGGGCAAACGGGCAGGAGGCTCACCTGATGTTAAGTGATACCGCAGTGCCTGCTTTTTCCTTAATCTGATCTATCCACCTTTTAAATGGTCTTCCTCGCAAAAGTTAGTTTATCAAAATTT